TTGTGTTTGGTTTTCAAAGAAGTCAAGAAAACTGAAGACCTGTTATTGCCTAGGCAATAAGTATCTAGTTATTATTATTTTTCTTCCCGGACTTTTGAAACTGCAAGACTTATCGAAAAACTTTATAGGTCATGATACTGGATATCAAAAGTTATTCCGAAAAACGACCCCCCGTGTTTGACCTATGACCTCCTACGAAGTTATTGCCCCTTTCGCAAGAATAGCTTGTTATCGCTACTCCTTCGAAACCATAAACCGTAGAGGAACGGAACCTTCACCAATGTCTTCGACTAATTGAGGGGACTCTTCAGTCTTTTCATTGCGAAAGTATTCGTCAACCCCTTTTATGAGTTATTGCCCCTGAAAGTTTATGAAACTTACGAATAATTAAAAATTTTCAAAACGATAAGTTGTAGAGAGATGGGACCAACTGCATAGGATTCAATGACCTTTGACCTTCAAATATATGCAAAGGTCAAAGGTCAAGGTCATTCAAAATATGAGAAATTAAGCTCTTTTTATAGATCTTTTGTCTTTCAACATATCCTAAATATCTTTGCATCATTAATATGTACTCTTAAATCTATTTCAAAGATATCATTCTTGTCCCCTAAGCTTAACCCCTTTGAAAGTTATTGCCCCTTGTGCGAAAAACATTGTTATCGCTACTCCTCTGAAACCGTAGATTGTAGAGACATCAAACCTTCACTAATGTCTTCAGGGTCTTTAGACACAACTTCAATCTATTCAGTGCAAAAGGATCCGATGACCCCTTATATGAGTTATCACCCTTTAACGTCTTTGCGCTTACTATTAAACCTTGTAACTTTAAAACTAAAAGTCGTGGAAGCATGAGACCAATTGCAATGTGATTCATGACCTTTGACCTTCAATATGCGGAAAAGGTTAAAGGTCAAGGTCATTTCAAAATTTTTAAAATTTTCATTTTTTTAATCTTTCAAGCCTTTATGGATTCTTTTTGGATAAAAATTAACTTTAGAGAGAAAAATATATAAATTAAAGAAACCTAAAGAAGGTGGAAAGACCTCTAATTGTTCTGTGAACAATTAGTCTACTAGTTTGTTTCTGTGTTCGTGTAGCGCTGACTATAGCATTTTTCTTCTTTTTTTACAACCCAAATTACATGGAAACATTTAGAAAGGTGGAAACACCTCTAATTGTTCTGTGAACAATTAGTCTACTAGTTAGGTCTTTCCACCTTTCTGTGGAAAGACCTCTTGAAATGTTTATGTTTATTATTATTTTTTTTCCGCTAGGACTTTTGACACTGAAAGACTTATCGACAAACTTTATATTTCATAATACTCGACATCTAAAGTTATTTTGAAAAATGACCCAACGCGTGTGTCCTGTGACCCCTTTCACAGTTATTGCCCCTTTTGCTAAAAACCTTGTTATCGCTACTCCTCCGAAACCGTAAACCGCAGAGGTACGAAACCTTCATCAATGTCTTTGAAAAAAGTTATTGCCCCTTGTGCGAAAAACCTTGTTATCGCAACTCCTCAGAAACAGTAAACCGTAGAGACACGAAACCTACACTAATTTCTTCTGGGTCTTTGGACACAACTTCAATCTTTTCAGTGCAAAAGGATCTGATGACCCCTTATATGAGTTATCACCCTTTAACATCTTTGCGCTTGCTATTAACCCTTATAACTTTAAATGTATAAGTCATAGAGGCATGGGGTCAATTGCAATGTGACCCTTGACCTTGAAAATTCAATGAAAGTCAAAGGTTAAGGTCATTTCAAAATTATTGAATTTTCATTTTTTTCTATCTTTCAAGCCATTTCTGAATTCTTTTTGCATAAAATTTATCTTTAGAGAGTAAAATATAGAAAATTTAAGAAATTTAAAGAAGGTGGAAAGACCTCTAATTGTTTGAGAACAATTAGTCTACTAGTTATTATTATTTTTCCACCAAGTGTGTTTTTGAGTTTCAAGATTTATCAAAAACATTTATAGTCCATGAGAATGTACTCCTTAAAAGATTTTTGCAGTTGACCCTGCGTATATGAACTTTGACCCCTCCAAGAATTATTACCCCTTTCGCAATATAAGCTTGTTATTGCTACTCCTCAGGAACCGTAAACCATAGAGATACTAATCAATCACCAATATCTTCGACTAAGTCAGTAGACACTCTGACCTTTTGAGCGCAGAGGGATTCATCAATCCCTTTAAGTAGTTATTGCCCCTAAAAGTTTTTGAAGTTTACGAATAATGAAAAATTTTCAAAAGGATAAGTTGTAGAGACATGAAACCAACTGCATTAGATTCCTTGACCTCAGACATTAAAGTTTATGTCAAGGTCAGAGGTCAAGGTCATTCCAAATATGAGAAATTAAGCTCTTTTTATAGCTCTTTTGTCTTTCAACATATAGTTTATATCTTTGCATCTTTAAGATGTACTCTTTAAACTATTTCAAAGATTTCAATCTTATCCCCTAAGCTTAACACCTTCAAAAAATATTGCCACTTGTGCGAAAAACCTTGTTATCGCTACTCCTCTGAAACCGTAAACCATAGAAACATGTAACCTTCAGTAATGTCTTCAGGGTCTTTAGACACAAGTTCAGTCTTTTCAGTGCAAAAGGATCTGATGACCCCTTATATGAGTTATTGCCCTTTAACGTCTTTGCGCTTACTATTAACCCTTATAACTTTAAATGTATAAGTCATAGAGGCATGGGGTCAATTGCAATGTGACCCTTGACCTTTGACCTTGAAAATTTAATGAAGGTCAAAGGTTAAGGTCATTTCAAAATTATTAGAATTTTCATTTTTTCTATCTTTCAAGCCATATCTGAATTCCTTTTGCATAAGAATTAACTTTTAATTAGACAGTAAAATATAGAAAATTTAAGAAATTTAAAGAAGGTGGAAAGACCTCTAATTGTTTGAGAACAATTAGTCTACTAGTTCTTTAAGGTTTTGTAAATAAAAGTTATAAAACCACAAATATACACAAAGCCTTTAGTAATATTTTTCTTGCACTGTTTGCAAAGAGACTGAGCTTATGTACATATGAATGATGTTCTGTATATAATCATTCACAAGGATTTCTAAAATGTTCAAAAAAAATTAAAAATAAAATTTGTAATTTAATTAATTACTTTTGCAAAGTTATTGTAAATTAATTAATTACATGTCTTATAAGGTCTGTAATTTAACTGTAATTAAATTGAAAATAAAGTCAAAACAATTGTAATTAAATTAATTACTTTTTAAAGTAATTGACCCCATCTCTGAGTGCAATCCTAACCCAACCTCCCCCCCCCCCCCCTTTCCAAATGTTCATAATCTGAACAAACTTGAATCTATACTACTGGAGGATGCTTCTAAATAAATATGACTAATTATGGCTTTGCTGTTGATGAAAAAATATTTTTAAAGATCTATTTTCCTGTGTATTCCAGCGTAAAGCTTTGATCTCCTATAGTGGATTGACCCTAACCTTGGGGGTCATGATTTGAACAAACCTGTGTCTATTCTATGTCAGGAAGTTTTTTCTGGCTCAGCAGTTCTTGAAAAAAATTTTTTTAAATGACCCTACCCAATCTTCACTATTCTTATTTATCTTTCCTTGGAAGAGGTTGTTGTCCTTAATTCATTTGAACAAAATTGAATCCTTTTTTACAAAAAAATACACTGTGCCAAGTTTTGTTGAAATTGGCCCAGTGATTATGGAGAAGAAGATATAAAATGTGAAATATTTGTGACAATGCAGAAGAATGAAAGACTATGGAGAAATTTTGGCTCACATGAGTTAAAAACATAGTGTACTTAATATTTTTCTGGCCTTAACACAGGACCCTACGTGGCAAGGGATGTTGATATGCACATTGATTGTTCCTTTATCTATAAACAGGCTCCACTAATATGGTTAAAATGAGCTCAGCAATTTCAGAGAATATCAGTAAATAATTTTAGAATGTTAAAAAGTTTAAATTTCAAAACGTCCCCACAATGACCTGAAAAGAAAAAAAAATTGAAGAATGTGAAAAAAGCTACTCAAATACAGGTAACTCTTGATGGCTCGAACTTCGATCTCTCGAAGTTCTTGATCGCTCGAAGTGAGTTTTCCCCTAAATAACTAACCAAATTTACTCTTGATTTCTCGAACTCTTGATCTCTCGAAACCCTTGATCCCTTGAAGTCAAAATGAGGTCCCGCTATGCATATTCTATTGGAATTTACCCTCGATACCTCGAAGTGGCTATGTGTATACAAGGTTATATAATTAGCACCTTTACCTGGACATTTAAATGGGCACAGGCAGAAGTCGCCGGTCTCGAGGAACGGGATGTTTATTCAGGTAACACTTATGCTGCGAGGTGATAATTGGTTTATAATTAATCATATTTAGCCTATATGCTATTTAAATAATTATCAACAACTGTCTTATGATAATTTAGAGACGCAGTGTCAGTGAAAAGTAGTAGTTGGTTAAAAGACGAAATACTAATTTAATTTTTATTTCGAGTCAGTGTCAAAGTTAAACGAAATATGCAAAAGCAGAAACAGCCTCAATGTCAATACGACGAGTATTATTAGATAAATGCAGAATTGCGTTCAATGATCATGTTTGGAATAGTCGTGCAATGCTATGTACTTGCTGTAAAATGTCATTTTTTATGTAACGAATGTGTAGTATTATGTCCGTATTACAAAGAATAAATAAATATATATGAAATGACGATATACATTTTTTGCTTTACTCAGTTTAATGAAATATTCATCTAAATTATGAAAAAATATCATTGTTTTATAAAAACCACATGTAAAAGGTTAGCACTGCATGAAAATCATTACATCCAATAACTAATTTTAAAACCTGTCAACAAACCTGGAAAATTCCGGACTCTTGAAAACTCGAACTCTTGATCTCTCGAAGCTTTTCCTCGGTCCCGCGGACTTCGAGGTATCGAGAGTTACCTGTATGTAATTGATATCCTTAATGAACAAAATTAACATACCCTGATTCCCATATGTCTTGGAAACTGGTTCCTGTTCACTCATGGACATGATTTCTCTATCAGCTATGTTTGCCACAAAACCCTCATTATTTTTGTCAGACATCTCCTTTTCCTTTTCCCTTCTCTCCTTCCTCTTTTGTTGCTGTTCCAGTCTCATTTGTTCCCTGACTAACTTTTGCTCCTTGTTTTGTCTCCCCTGTCTCTTTACATCTGCTATTTTGCTTATGTTTGATGTCCTGGTGTCTGAAGCACTGTTAGTAGTAGAAATGTGTCATCTTTTAACAATTACATTGTAAGGTGATAATGGTTTAGTATAGGAGCAACAATAAGCACCTGAGTCCCGATGCTTTGACTTAATAACAAAAAATATATGTAAAAAGATAACATTTTGATGCTAAGCATCAAATCGGCCACAAACATTCCACATAGTGGTCTTAATACCCTGGATCTTTGTCACATGATACCAATGATTTCTGCAGGAGTGATGATGGACATCACAATAAATGTGATGTTTTGTCATTCACACCTGTAGCATATTCAAAACAAAATAAAGTAACAATATTTTCTCAATTTTGATAAATACTGTAATTTTCTGGAAATTTGCGATTGTATCAAGTTGCTTTTATCCATTATACACTCCCATTCTAGGGAGCACTTCTTGTAAGAATTCTGTCTGAAAAATTATAAATTTGATATTTGATAAAAATTAAAAAAAAATTGAAATGCATTTATAACATTTAAATATCTTGAATAGCTTCTTTGAAACTGAGCTAAACACACATTTGAAGTCGAGGGAAAGATCAAGGTCAAAAATGTTGATGCCAATGAATACATATAGCTCTCATCTTGAAAGGTTTTTAAAAATTTTTCCTATATATACCCATTTAAAACTTAAGGACATTGGCAAGTCAGAGGTTTCCGGAGAAAAAAAGGTTTAATACATGGGTTTTTTCACTTACAAAATAGTGATTGAGAGTGATCTCCTGTGTAGAATTCTCTTTAAGGAGTGAAAACCAATAAAGCGTATGTAACAGAGGTAAACAAAAGCACGCGTACTTCCTTCAATGGGTAGAATCATCTATACAGCAAGAAAGAAAAGAAGTAATGGCTTTGTTAGCTCACCTGAGCCGAAGGCTCAAGTGAGCTTTTCTGATTGAAATTTGTCCGTTGTCTGTCGTCGTTGTCATAGTCATTGTTGTCGTTGTCGTAAACTTTTCACATTTTCATCTTTTTTCAAGAACCACTGGGCCAATTTCAACCAAACTTGCCACAAAGTATCCTTGGGTAAAGGGGAATCAAGTTTGTTCAAATGAAGGGCCATGAAATGAATTCATGAAAAATTAATGGCATCATTTAAAAATCTTCTTCTCAAAAACCACTGTGCTTGAAAATATGAAACTTATATGGAAGCATCCTCAGGTAGTGTAGATTCAAGTTTGTTCCAGTCATGATCCCCGGGGGTAGGGTGGGGCCACAATGGAGGATCAAAGTTTTACATAGGGATACATAGGAAAAATCTTTAAAAATTTTCTTCTCAAGAACAGCAAAGCCATGATGGGTCATATTTATATGGAAGCATCCTCAGGTAGTGTAGATTCAAATTTGTTCCAGTCATGACCCCCGGGGGTAGGGTGGGGTCACAATGGGCGATCAAAGTTTTACATAAGAAGACATAGGAAAAATCCTTTAAAAATCTTCTTCTCAAGAACAGCAAAGCCATGATTGATCATATTTATATGGAAGCATCCTCAGGTAGTGCAGATTCAAGTTTGTTCAAATCATGACCCCAGGGTGAAGGGTAGGGCCACAATGAGCGATCAAAGTTTTACATAGGAATATATACTAGGAAAAATCTTTACAAATCTTCTTCTCAAGAACAGCAAACCCATGATGGGTCATATTTATATGGAAGCATCCTCAGGTAGTGTTGATTCAAGTTTGTTCCAGTCATGACCCCCAGGGGTAGGGTGGGGCCACAATGGGCGATCAAAGTTTTACATAAGAAGACATAGGAAAAATCTTTAAAAATCTTCTTCTCAAGAACAGCAAAGCCATGATTGGTCATATTTATATGGAAGCATCCTCAGGTAGTGTAGATTCAAATTTGTTGAAATCATGACCCCCAGGGGCAGGGTGGGGCCACAATGGGTGATCAAAGTTTTACATAGGAATATATAGGGAACATCTTTAAAAATCTTCTCAAGAACAGCAAAGCCATGATTAGTCATATTTATATGGAAGCATCATCAGGTAATGTAGATTCAAATTTGTACAAATCATGATCCCCTGGAGAATAGAGGGGCCATAACAGGGGATCATACAAAGGATATATCAATCAAAATTTTCTTCTTAACCCGAACAGCAAAACCATTATTTGTCATATTAATTCAAAAGCATCCCTATGAAGTTTAGATTCAAGTTAGTTCAACCCCCCCCCCCCCCCCTCCCCCGAACCAGTTTTATATTTAAACTTTTCAAGACTGAACTGATTTCTGCTTTTTCCTAGCCAGAGTGCTCAGGTGAGCGATGTGGCCCCTGGGCCTCTTGTTGAACATTGTATTCAGGGACAAAGAGCCAACAGGTCATCATTTACCATAGTTATAATAATATGCTCAGTATGCTGGGAAGGGCAAAGATGTGACATCTGAAAGGTAGGCCGACTGAGAACAGTTCTTAGGTGTGAAGGTAGCAGCATTTAGTAACTACGAATAAAAGTTGAAAATAAATCCATATCAATAATTTTATGACAATGTGTTTCAGCAATTCAGTCAATTACATGATAGAAGCAATGAACCAGTCTCTTGACCAATTTTAGCTGTTAAGGGAAGCAACTCAAAAATACATGATTGGTGCCGGTATGCCCATGTCTTGTTTCTATATATACATTTTCAGCCAAAATATCTAGAATTCATAGGATATGAAGATACAATAATGTATATAATACAAAAATTATATGAGATAGCGGGTTTTGGAGAAATATTATGGTGACAAATTATGTAGGTCCCTTTTATCAACATTTTACATAGGAAATGCATTGAGAATTGTAAAACCACTGATTTGACAAAATCTAAAAAAGAAGGTTGGCTTGGTAGGTTAAACAATCCAGAATATAGCCTGTTTATTACATCTAAACCTACTCAAGAGTTCTTGAAAAATTCTATACGATAACCAGGAACCTTGCCAATGTCCTTAAGGGTTAATTAAAAAAAATCAAAGTACTAAAAGTACTGAATCAAGGTGATGTATTCCAGTAAAATGTGAAATCTAGCCCCAAGTTAACTGGCATATACAAAACCTTTTATCAAGAAAACCCTCAATGAAAACCATTGAAAAGCAAAAAGTGAGTAATACGACAAATACATTTTGTAACTTATTTGATCGGAACACTTCTAGTATACCTGTCCCTATAAATATGGTGCTAAAATAGGTGCCGCCGAAGGCGGTGTACAATATAATATGATCGCGTGAGCGATCGACAAAATCGATAAAAAAGGCCACAAATCGCAAATTTGAGCCAAAAATCGTGTTCCTTGTGAAAAATTGGGTTTAAAAAACTGGTTTTTAAGCAGTTTTTAAAATGAGAATTAAAAGGTTTTGTAAAATAACGTACTTGTTTAGTAGATAAAATTTCATTTTGTGTTGTTTAGGAATGTGGTCACATGATCAGTTTTTGACGTAATCTCATATTAAATATTCATGACATGCGTCTCTTGAGTTTTGACGTAATGAAGACTGATGAAGAAGTAGCTGATAGGACTCAAAGTGAAATGCTACTAAAATTGCGAGATTTTTGTGAGAAATGCAGGGATTTAACAAGTGATAACTAATACTAGTAATTGGTTGATTGAATTGTGCATCACCATTAATTTGAAAGAAAAAATATTCTGAATATGGGCATTAGGAGGTTAGGATATCGAGCTTAAGTAAACGATAAGTCGCTTTTACCAATTACTTGCCAAAACTTAGGGCACAATATCGGGCATGTTTCAACATTAGACCAAGGCTAATTCATCCAAGTTTTGCAAAACTTTCCCGTTCTTCCGGTTATTTGTAAGCAAAAATTGCAGCCCAAAGTGATATAGATGCGAGCATGGGTGAATATAAAACAGTTACAATATTCAAGCTATATATAATTATACTCTAACCCTAATCCGTAGATCGCATACAATGCCATATTTAATTAACAGCTTGTTTAAGTTTTGCATGTTTCATGCTTCACTCCTCTAAGATGGTATATCGACACGGTTCGACATTAGGCTGATTCATGCAAGTTTTTGGTCACAAAAAGGCACTGCCAAGATTTGAGAGTGGATTTATAAAACAGTTCCAATCTTAAAACAATATACCCTAACCCTAATCACTCGATCGAATGCGTTTTGTTGAAGCGAGGGGAAAATGGCGGTTTGTTTACATTCTGCATAGCAACGGCAAGGGAAATAACTGCTCATGCGCAATCGCATGATTCTGGGGACTGGCATACTAGAAACTTCCCATTTGATCTATAAAAAACTGAACTAGTTACTTTTAAACAAATGCGAAAATACTAACAAAAGAATCGTTGCCATATGAATGTGTAAAAAAAGGGAACCATGTGTCTTTGAAATTCCAGGCCCCAGGGCCATAAAACTTAGATGAGCTCACTCATGATCTGAGTCTCACTTTTCCACTAATAATTCCTTTTGTAAAGGTGAGATTGGGATCAAAAATGAGCTCGTCTAAGTTTTATGGCCTTGGAGCCACATTAATCACTGATACAGCTAACATCTAATACAATCAAAAAACCCTCTCTTTGATTTCTTTTGATGGGGGGGGGGGAAACCAGGCCCATTTAGACATTTTTTTTTAACTAAATTGGTATAATTTATTTTATTTAATCATATGAAGCATTGTAGACTCAAGATAGATCTGTAGCACACTAGTCGAAAATGATATTCAAATAACTAAAGTTCCATGCATTTTTTTCTGAGCACAAAAATGTACAAAATTTTAGAGCTAATTCTCCATGTTTCAAGACAGTCATATCAAAATGTAACAAGGCTTTTTTCCTAAAATATTGCTTTACTTCATGTATATGCTTTCAAAATCAAATCAATCCCACCCCACAATAATTGTGAATAGCCCTTTTGTGCATTTGCTTGAAACTATTTCCAATGTCATTTTCTCCAGCCATCACAGTAGCTCAGTCGGTAGACCCGGCTGTAGAACTTCCATGGACATGTCTCATTTTTCCATGGGTTCCAGGCTTTTCCAT